CGCGCCGGCGGCCGCCGCCCAGTGCAGAGGGGTGCGCTGGAGAGAGGGCAGGGAGAGAGAGAGGGGGGGAGAGAGAGAGAGGGAGAGAGAGAGAGGGAGAGAGAGCGAGAGAGAGAGAGGAGAGGAGAGAAGGGGAGAGAGAGGAGAGAGGAGGGAGAGAGAGAGAGAGAGCGAGAGAGAGAGAGAGAAAAAAAGGGTTAGGGGAGCTAAGGCTGTGGTTTATTCTCAGGGTAACGTGCATGTGAGATCATCGGTCATCGCTGCTAATCATCAAGCTGTCCTCCGAAATACTTGGCACGTCTCAGCTTCCGATAACTGCCAGTTACTGCCGATAACATCAACATCGTAGGTTAAATCACGTCTCCTTAGCCTAATGTTAGCGACTGTATAAAAAATGCACATATAAAACGAGACGCATGTAATCAGTCCCTTCAAATGCCCTATTGTCGTATCAACTCGACCGAGTTGATGAGTCAGAAAACAGAGTTCAAACGGAGTCCGGCCCCAGTTTATAATTGCATTTTGAAGCGGTTCAATTTGAACTGCCCAGTTTTGGGCCTGATTAGTCATCTTTTATTTCTCAGCAGTCAGTGAGCACTAACCTTATTACAATCCTCAGCGTTGAGCGCCTCACTGCTCAGGTGTTTGAGCAGAAGCGGCAGACATTTGTTGTTGCCACGCTGAGTTGCCAGATGACATGGGGTCACCTTGTCCTGATCTGGCAATGCAGGATTGCTGGACCTCTGAACTAGCAGCTTCAAGCAGGTGTAATAGCCCTGCGAGGCATGTCACAAGAAACCTCATCTACTCAGTTTTATCTTTGATATCGCATCAGTGTTGAATCAAGATTATCGGTATCAGATCAGCATTCAATCAACATGCCATATTCGCAAGAGCACTCAAAACATATCTTCCATCAACATTGTCGTAATCTAGATCGACAATCACGCACACCAATTTTCCTTCCTTTTCCCGTGACTAAATATTCCCATATTTGCATTAAGCTGAGCTCAATAAAGCGTAGCTTGGAATTAAATGCGGTCTCAGTTTGTATATAACTGAACTGACACCTCACTTCTCGCCATAGCAGAGCTCCCACTGACCCTGTGTGCGGCGCCGTGCACCGCCGACCGGCCCGCGTGGTCGGCAGCGTCAGCCGACAGCCCGGCCCTCAGCAGCAGGTCCACACACTCAGGCTGATTCCCCATCACGGCGAACGCCAGCGCCGAGCGGCCGAACCGGTCCACTGTGAGGTGTAGCGAGTCTATGGAATAGGGGGAGAGAATGAGCCTAGAGAGTTGAGAGAGTGGTCAGATATAGTAGAGAGTCTGTGGAATGGGGGGGGGGAGCAGTTAGACTAGAGATCATGATCAGGGTAGAGAGCATATGAGGGAGGGTAAACCAGGCATTTAAACTAGAGGTGGCAAGGTTCAGGATGTGTCATGGAGTTTTTGAGCAGTATTTGGTCCTTGGATCTGATTTGTATATTATTTCCTTGTGTATCTAAGTGCATACCTACTAAATGAAAGAAAATACTTGTTGATGTAAAAGCATCTATTCACTATAAACTTCATCAAACAATACACCCCTGCCCAAAATGAGCCATGTAGAAATAAATAAACAGAAACATCCATATACACCTGGATACAATAAGTCAGACCAACAAAGCTGTGGCTTTGTCAGCATGGGCCTCTGTTCTAGCAGTCTGTACTCACCAGCCACCAGCTTCTGAAGGTGCTGCTTTTCCCCATTGAGAGCAGCCGCGTGAGTGGTGCAGATGCCGGCTGGCAGGGGAGTCTCTGATGTGGCAGATGAGGGTGCAGAGTCTGGGGGACACAGCCAATGACAGATTTGATTTATTCAATTACTTACCATAAACATTCATATAAAAATGTTTTTACTTATATCAATATTAGACAGGAAAAAAGGTCTCATATGAATTATCATTATGCACAAAAGGAATACAATATTGCTACACAAAACTAAAAGGCTTGCACACCAGCAAAATGAGCAATTTGTTATCAATGTACCTGAATGTCTTCTTTCCAAATTCACACCCGCAAATGTGCCCATTTGCTGGAACTTATGCATCACTGCCATTTTCCTGGAATGTTAAATGCAGTGTGATTTCTCAAAACATCAATACCGATAAGAACATTGAAAACATGCTAAAATTGACAATGGATTATATGCATAGCTAGTCAAAGTTGTCAGTTTTTAAGCTAACAACTCTTTGCTAATCATAAATCATAATTGATGCTTTGATGCCAGCAGGGTTCAGGCCCGACTGGAAAAAATGCCTCCACTACGCTGAAGTTCTCGGCGGAGGTGATGCGCCGAAATTTCGGCGCAAGGGTTTATGCGCCGAAATTATCTTACCAAGCCATGCTTCATGCGCCAAAAATTTTCAAGGCTTACTGATGGCTGCAGGCTGTAGCCACGCACTTTTCGTCGAGGGGGGGGGGGCTGGCGTGTGTGTGTGGCTGTCTTCCAGTGACTACTGTCTACAGACGGTTGTTGGCGCGGTCGACGGGATCGGGCAGACAATAGACATCAGCAGGCCATGCGGGACCGAGCACCAGCGTTCGCTATCACAAAATCTCCTGACTCACAAACTCACTGGCATGTTCCATAATGTAACCTTTATTTTGTTGCCCGGCTCTGATCAGCAGTAGTGCCCAACCGGTGACTGACGCCTGACGGGGCCTTCAACCAACAGGCGTGGTGCAAGCACGGCCGATGGGATCGGGCAGATACCAGGCCACGCGGGACCGATTGCCAGCGTCCGCTCGCAAACCACACGCCGGAAATACAGGAATCACAACGGTCAATATGCACATGATAGCATACGTTATCTGAACTAGGGAATCCGACAATCCATAACCTCACTCTCGACCGGTGAACTGTTCCCGCCGTGGGAGAGTCACAATCAGGTTCACTGAACATGACTTAAATACCCTGAGACGAACACGAGACAAGATAAGTGATATTTAAGATGTTTAACTCCCGAAGACATTTAATCCTCGCCGGCCGAGGGGGGTTGGTGCCACCCCCCTGACGGTTTTTTTCGCGATTTACGCCGAAGTACGCCGAAAATTTCGGCGCAAGCCGTCGATTTACGCCGAAGTACGCCGAAAATTTTCGGCGCAAACGCCCAACTACGCTCGAGTTCTCGACGAAAGCGTGCATTTTTTCCAGTCGGGGGTTCAGGTTGGGGTAAAGGAGCTTTTGCTTCCCAATTTTGATAGCTTAATCATATGACATTCAAGTTACACACCTATAAAAACGATGCTCAGAAAATTGTTTCCAGCATGAAATTGAAATAAACCAAAATTAGGGCCTGAACTTCGACCTAAGACTGAGACGTTCCAGTTTGTTTGAGTTCAGAGCTCAAATCAAAACTCACTGTTGTTACATGATGCTAAGGAAAAGAGCACAAGCTCAGCTATTCATTTGTTTCGTGAATTAATTTTCACAAGAAATCGAGCAAAAATTCCTAAAACACCTTAAAAATAAATCATTTCCCACACATACAAAAGTGCGTCACGTTTCCAAGCAACGCGCCACAACACACTAAAAAGTCGTGACCGCCAAATTCATTGTTGTGCAAATACTTGTTAACTCAGATGCATTTTATTTGTAATTAGACTCAATTGATGGACTGAGACGGGAGACTCAACGTTGTTGGTGGATTTGGTGCTACTGAAAAATTACATGATGTACAATACCTGAAACTAAATCGAATACTTTGTCGTCGTCCATGACCTGCCCTTTGGCGATTTTGGCCTAAATGAATAAATTTGAATAGTATGATTGAATTAAGTGCGCGCATTTGAGATGAGCATCAAAATGTTTTTGTTTACTCTCCCATTCGAAAATGTCTTGATTAAATGTTCCTGCCGACCAACTACCGACAAAAAAAAACTACATGTCTGCTGACCTTCCAATGACCTAGCACGACCACAACCGTTCTTACGGTGTCGGAGCACGAGTGTCATTTCTTTCCTATTTAGTTTTCACCTTGACAGCCTGAGCCACCGTATCGAATATCGATCATCAGTCACTGCCACGTAAAACGTAAACGTAAAACGTTGACTTTTGTGAAGTCTTCGTAATGGCCGCCGCCACGCTTGCACAGTTACTAAGGCGTATGTATTTATTGCACGTTTATTTGGGCACTCTTACAGCATTTAAACTGGGACTACAACAGTCAATACTCAATAGGTCAGTGGTAGTCACGTTACGTCGTGGCAATAAATACCGCCTTTGAAATAAAAAAAGCAATAAACAGACCCACACAAACAAACAATATGACGCTAATATCTGCATCAAAACGTAGTAACATGTTACAATCCACTCTGCACAATGAAAAATAATGCCAACGCTAATACCGATACAGGGCCACAGGTTGCTTCTAAAATGCGATCAGGAAAGGCACTGCGAAAAAAAATATTTGCTACGGCTACCTGGTAAGTGGTAATGCCAATGTATCACTTCGAATAATTGTGATACATAAACGTTTAAAGTTCAAGGTTACATGCCGATAAGCGAATATTCGGTTGCATGTAGCGTTAGTCTTTAGATCCCGTCTCAAGTCAGCACGGAATTAGTAAGACGCGACATTTGTAGAAATAAAAGCATGGGCAACAACCATTCGTCCATGCTTTCAACTTTATGGGAAACGAAGACGAAGCAAAAGTTTGAGTTAATAGCAATGCCGCTCAGCTATAGATATCACCGATGCGTTCTTTGCGATGTCGTCGCATCCGTAACAAAGGATAACATCATGGATCATCAAAGTGGAGGCACTAGCTGAAGGCGCAGCGCGGAAAACTGACGTCACAACTGCGTCCATTGGTCGCCAGTGACGTCATACCAGCGCAGAGACTCGTCATTGGCTCTCCGGTAGTCTTCATCAGTACCCACGACAGCGGCAGACTGCAAACACATAGAAAGAATATTATAACACGGAGCTGGGTAAGTGATGAAATTGAAAACAAACATTTCCGATCGTAAGGCGTGAAAAGCATACAGCAATATTTACGAATTGATTGGTCGAGATCAGGCTACGTTCAATAAGCTTTGCCTAATACGGGCTCTGCCACGAACACTTCCCTCTTCCCTCGTGAGTTACGCCTCGCCGTGCTGCATCCTGACACTGCCTCTGTTGTGACCTTTGACTTAGCTCAACTTCCTCACCTGAATTCGCCCTGCCCTGGCTCCAAGATTAGTTTACTACTCCCCTGGCCCTATACCCACGTCTTGCTCCGCCCCTGTGGCATGACCTGTCCCCGTCTGCACCCCTGCACCTTGACCCGGCTCCCCAATTCCCCCTGGCTCCGCTCCTGCGCCTTGACCCGACTTCCCTTCCGCACACAGTCCACACCTTGGTTCCGCCCATGCACAGTGACCTAGTTTCGCCCCTTCCCCGCTCCCTGGGTCCGCCGCTGCGCCGTGACCTGACCTGGCCACGCGCACCACGTAGCTGTAGGGGTAGCCAGCTCGCTGCGCGCGGCTGTTGAGCCGGCACAGCTGGTGGGGCAGACAGCTGGTGTCCTCAGAGACCAGAGTCGCCAACATGGCGCCCGCCAGCGCCAATCCACCGGGAACAAACTCGCCCTCTGGAATATGGCGAAAATAGGCGCAACATCAGCTCCGGAATAACGGGATAGTGCTTACCGAGCACGTCTCTACGTCTGTCGAAAGAAAAATATAGAATTATCGTAGATATTCATGTTCTAGTACCGACTTGCAATTACCACACGCACTCCTGGCTGTCCGATGTAGCAGCATGCATCTTACATGAGTGTGAAATGAACTGTTTAAATCTTAATTGTTATCGGCTATATCGACTCACCTGCGTTATATTCGCTATCCAGCGAGCGACCTCCACCTCCATTGGCTATGACCTGGGCCAGGGCGAAGGCGATGAGGGCTCCTAGCGCGGCGAAACCGGCCAGAGCCCCTGCTATCCCTGGGAAACACTCGCAGTCGCCGTCTCTGGACTCTGGAATCAGATGGGACAGGTCAGATAATAAAGAATTAGATGTCATGCCATGCGTGCTGAAACGTTTGGGTTGCTTACAGGTAAGTTTTAAATTGCTATTTATGGCGTATAAAATAACTTGCTATTGTAATCTGTAATTGCGCACTGCGCAGTGACACGGAACGGGACGGTAATCAATCACTACAATTATAGCAAGAGAAGGCCTACACATTGAGTTACAAGCAACGATCCTGATGTTCAAGAGCGTGAAACAACCGGTTATATAATGGATAATGGCTTGAGAATGAATACGGGACTTTTCCCACACGTGCGAAAATTATAAATGTCAGGTCACTGCAACGGCGTAAATGTTTCGAACGTATCGGCCGACAGAAATGCGTTCCCACGAACCACAAAAAAAAACAGCCGGGGGAGGAAGAAAGAGATAAATAAAAAGGGAAGAGGAACAACAACAAAAAATCGCACAAGGATTCAGTTGACAGACAGACGAACGGTCAGACAGACGGACGGACGGACGGACGGACGGACGGACGGACGGACGGACGGAAAAACGGACGGACGGACAGACGAACCGACGAGAGGAAGGACAGACAGACGCCAAGAGGAGGGAGAGAAAGAGAGGGGAAGAGAGACAGAGACTCATCATCTGTTAGTACAACAAATGCAACACTGACGGTATCGCATCCAAAATCCCTCAGCAGCTGTGAGCAGCATTTTAGAACACTGTCCCGTCACTCTACTCACCTCCTTCCCTGTTCTCCACCACACTGATCTGCCTCCGCTCCATATCACTGATGACGTCACAGGTCCGATTGACCGCCTTCAGGGCAAACATCTCGGTCGGCTGCGGCACCATTTCGGCCATTATCTTCACAACTCCATCTGGCAGCCAGTTTAAACCGAGCGCCCGGCCGCCGCCGCCATTAATCAGCTGATTAATGAGAAACGTGGCGACCGCCGCTAGGGCGGCGCCACCGGCGATCAGCCCGATCAGGTCATAACCGGAACAATCGCAGGAGTTGTAGCCGTACCCTCCTCCGCCGTATCCTCCATAGCCGCCGCCGGAGGCAGCCGCGCTGAGGTCGGGTCCTGAGAGAGCTCGACGCCAACGAGAAATGCCCTCGGGCGATTGGGTCAGGGCGGGTAGAGCTGCAGATTTAGCGGAAGAACGAACTCCGGGAAAGGTGGTGTCAAGTTGTAATGAATGTAAAGCGAGAGAATCGCTTTTGAGGACGTGTGAATCGTGTCTACACTTGGCTGATATGACACTTATTTGCAAATGAAAGAGAAGGAATAGGAAGAGAGGTGTCACTAACTTGCCGTTCCTCCATGCTTCTGATGCCATTGCTTTGAAATGACAAAGAGTTTTACTCTTCGGTGCTTTTAAAGAACTTCTTATAAGCTATCTTGAACCTTTGTGGGCATAAGATGAACAATCTAGAACAGCTCGTTATAAAAGGACGATGAACTCCTTTGAGCACCTGAAAAGGGAAAAAGATTAGCAAAATTAGCAGCGTGCCCGCCCATACCTACCTATGTAAATCATTGCGATTGCATCATTGCATCCTTTTTCCAACAGCAATTTTCAATGAGGTCCAGTAAATTTTAGGATGAACGATCCAACTCCTAAACAGTTGGTAAAAAAAAAAAAACGTTCAACTAGGTAATTACGGCCAATAGTTCGGACATCACATAATAAGTGACAGATAAGAAATATAAACTGGCAACGTGGCAATATAAACTTGAATAAGGAAAATGTTCAAACCGACGTCTTCTTTGGACAGACTCGTTTTGTCTAATACCAAAAGAGCTTTAATACCAATTTTTGGTCTTTTGGTCTAATACCAAAAGGTAGTACCGTTTCAGGGTCAGACTAAGGGTTCGTAAGACATTAGGCTTACTAGAATTCACCGGCTGTTACACCGCAGCGGTCGACCCCGTCCCGTGATACAGGCGTGCAATGGGCAGGCCATCCAATCGTTCAAACGGTCACTCGGGACTAGGGACGAGTAGTATGCTCCTACTGATAACTGATTTAGTCTTTACCGGCTGCCGTGCGGTGTGGTGATTAAGGATGGGGTAGTCCTGAAGATCACAATCACAGATCGTCACAGCTCACTAATTTTACAACCACCCACCATTACAACTCACCTCAATTACCGCTTGACCTACCACAAATCTACCACAAAATATACCCAAACACCGCAATCACCAGAGTGCTTCTCCTCACCCCGACAATCCTCCAACCGCTCACCACCTCCAGACGTCCACTGATGGCTACCTACTCCGGACTCTCCCACCTCCGGAGGCCTTCTCACTCTGCCAGCCAACCGCTACCGTGGACAAATCGACCCGAAAAATGACGCTGAAATTCTGCACATCACTGTCTCACCGTTACGGTGGGATCTCCTGAACGGAGGAGCCACGGGAGCTGACCGTTCGTTCTGGTCCGGTGCTCATCAAAAACTGGCGGAAGTGGGATGGATGGCGCCTGCTGAGATTCTTGGCTTCGTGTGCGGTTTGGGAAACCGGCCATTAGCTAGGTTAAATTACAATCGTTGCTAATCTATTACATGTTCCATTTCTATTGAACGAAATCATTTAAACTCTAGCCTATACCCTTTGCCCGATACTCACTAACGTTGACGGCGCCTAACACTGGTCCACTAAACTCTACAATGCACTGGTCCCATCGTCCCTTTTTCGATCACTCGAACGTTGCGCTTCTTCGTCATCCTTCGACCATCTCGTCCATCGTTGCCATTTTGCTGTGTTTGAACACCAGCACTCCATTTATTTTACACAAATAAATTATGTGCAAGCTCACTACATCATACGGTAATTGAATATACACGACGCAATTATAGCATCTTCAAAAAGACATGTAGGAGTAATTCGCCGAAGGCACATAGTTGTAGGAAAAACACCGCACGCTTTCCTTCTTAGTTCTTACTATACAGAGTGGATGAATACCTAATCATTCATCCTCCTTCCTGTAGCTCATTCTCTCACATATATCTCATCGGACAAGCACTCACTCATCCTTAGTTTGCAGTTCATCCTCTCATGGATTTTATGGGATGAGCCTTCGCTCATTTTTATCTCCCATCTCGTTATGTGTCCGATAGGATAAGTTTTCGCTCACTATTATCCTTTCGTTGATCTCGCGGAATTCTTTGCAGAACCCTAGAAGAGCCAGTACTGCCGTCGATAGGCTATTGATCAGACGCGCGGTAGACTGGAAGAAGATCCCGACGATAGTCTCTGAAAACGGAAATACATTTATGTTTAAAATGTGCATCACCTATGCAAACTTATGAGCGTAATTTATTGCACTTGAAATGACGGAATACGTCCAAGAAATAGAAGCTGGTGACTGACAATCATCATTATGCATGTTAAAAGCCATAGAACCAGGGTTGTATACGACTCAATCAATAGCAATCAATTCAATCACGACAAATTTGGGAAACCAATCAAATCAATCAAGTCAGAGCAGTTTTCGGGAATTGATTCAATCGACTCAAACGCGACAATGAAAGGAATCAATCAACTCAATCAAACGACTCAAACCAAGACATACATTAGGTTTTTTGCCCCACCAACTTGGAAAAGTGTCCATAGCAGTCTGGTGTACCTACCTACCTACCTACCTACCTACAGAAGAAACATAAAAATATTGTCATTTAAAATTATAAATTGCCATGCCATTCAAAGTTTCTATGTAATAAGGAAGGATACCTAGTGATGGACAGGTGATATTGAGGTTCAATGGGTAGAATTGGAGCAGAAGTTTCATTTAATGGGTGCAAAATAACCCAATAGTTGACTCGCCCCTTAACCCAAATCACCACCTTTCACCTAAAAGTTGTCAATTTAATTTTGGCCATATTCCAGCTAAGTCATCAGGCCATCTACCCCATGTAAAGCCCCTGTCTGTCTCTTATGTGAGTTATGCTGAGCTCTTCTGAATTGAACCCTGAACATAATGAACCGAGCTAGGTTTCATGCCACACTGACACCATATGAAAGTGTTGAAAATGTGCTACAAATTTGACAACTTCATTACGTATGCTTTATGAAGACAGCAGGAAAGCAGGTAGGTACCTACTTACCTGCCTAGATGTGTCACTGGCTACCAACAGTACCAACGAAGGTAGATAGGTTATATGTGAAGAATTCAAAACATTTTATTGCAATACAATTTGAAACTGTTAGGACTGGGGATAGGGATGAGGATTAAAAGTATATTTAAAAGGAAATGGAGAGGACAGGGACTCTGGAACCACAGGATAAGTTAAGGACAAAGGAAGTAGGATAAGGAACAAGGAAAATTAAAACGCGAAAACGGCACGGTGCGACTGCGAAAAAAAAAACAAAGAAAACGTTTTGCCAATAAGTATGCTAAGCTTTTATAAATCCTTATTCTATGTCTTTTGATTTTTTGGTAAGATGACGTCATTGATTATCATGCAGTATGGTAGATCATCATAAAATAAATCGGTTGTACAACACCAATTTCGTTTTAATTATTATTTCATTTGAAATAAAACCACTTAATAATATTCGGTAAAATATTTTAAGGAAAATGAAGCATGTTTAATATGTTATGCTTAGGCTCTCAGGAGAAAAGGATCAACAAACGTTCTGCTGCAAGTTAAACAATGCAGCAAATTAGCTATTAATTAGGGACGTAAACGTAATTAGCGAGACGAAAACGGCGCTTTTGTTTTAGTTATTTTTGTAGTTTGTAGGGGTTTCAGATATTTATAGAGTTCAGTGGGTTGTTTCTGAGGAGATGTGGAGATGTGAATTATTAATTAATCACACTTTATTAGTATATAGGGCCTTGCACTTTATCATCTGGATTAAAAAAAAAAACGTTTCCTGCTGAGTGCAGAAAGGTAGGTAGGTGCATCGCCAGGTTCTATCACCAGGATTGGAGCAGTTAGGTAACCGCAGGTTGTTTGAAAGGACAAACACTATTCGTTAGAATTGTGTTTTTCTATTATTGCAGTTGAAAGTCAAAGTTGGCTGTTCATGTTTAGGCCCTGTTCTTTATTTGGCCGTCTACCCCATATTGCAGTTGTGATGACAAGCAGTTTTCAGTGTAGTTTTGTGATCTTTGATGTCATCAATTGGTGTCATTATTTTTCGTCAACTAAAACTTATTTGGACTTTCCATTCAATCGACTCAATCATACGAGTCACTCTAATTTTCGGGAATCAAATCAGTCAACCAGTCGCTAAAGTCAAACGAGTCAGTCAACCAGTAATCTCGAAAAGTCAATCGACTCAATCCAATCAACTCAAAATACGCGTTGAATCAAATCAATCAATTCAATCGACTTGATTGATATACAACCCTGCATAGAACATGAGAAATTTATATCTTATTGCCACAAAAATGAACAACTTACGCGTTCTCTTAAGGCCTGGCTACACTATGCGTTTTCTGCGTGCGTTTTTGCAGGTTTGCGTGTTTTGCGTAATATCGTTCTAGGAAAAAAGTTATAAACAATATAATTTCTACTTTGGTTATGTACAAAAGCTAATATAACTCTTATGTAACTAAAATTTAAGGTGAAAAACATCACAAAAACGTAATATCGTTCTTTTTTCTAGAACGATATCACGCAAAACACGCAAACACGCAAAAAACGCACGAAGAAAACGCATAGTGTAGCCAGGCCTTTATACATACATGTCATTGAGACACACATTTTATATATCAGTTCCAGTTGGACCCCAGCCAATCCTGATCTGGCCTGAGTCAAGTACTGTCACTAGGTCAAACCATGCACACCCGTCAGTGCCATTAGCTATAGCTCGACGAGCATTGCTCGTCTCCACTTGCCGTCATGACACCCCTCCCCCCCCCCCATAACCCAACCTCGTCTAGGCCGCCCGTGCCAACGCGTCACTCGTCACACCGGGTCACGTGACCCTGTCACGCGTGACGTCATGCGTCACGCTGCGTTCGTTCGCACGAGCTGGGTTCGGGCGTGTTCAGCAGAGCGTGTCGAAAGGCCCGATTTGCAGTCGGTGGCTGGCTGGTGGATGGCGCTAGTATGTCGCGAGGCCAGGCCATCGACTAGCCAACTGGATCAACCGTTGCGTCACGTTCGTGCGCTTTGTCGCCTCTGAGTGTGACTCCTCTTCAGAGACGCTACAGACTCTTTACAGATCTAAATCTGTGCATTTCGCGGTAAAACGGCAGGCGAATAGCTGAAGGTCTATTTCTATTTATTTATCGACAGATCTCGTAATGATAATTTTAGTGTTTCAAAAATGCAAAGAAAACGTTGTAAGAGATATCTAAGCAGCGAGCTAGGTCTGTCAGACTATCTGCCTCTCTGTACGGTCTGTCAGTCAGTCTGTGTAGGGGTGCTTGCCCTCTCTCTCTCTCTCTCTCTCTCTCTCTCTCTCTCTCTCTCTCTCTCTCTCTCTCTCTCTCTCTCTCTATCTCTCTCTCCCTCTCTCTCTCTCTCTCCCTCCCTCCCTCCCTCTCTCTCTCTCTCTATCTATCTATCTCTCTCTCTCTCTCTCTCTCTCTCTCTCTCTCTCTCTCTCTCTCTCTCTCTCTCTCTCTCTCTCTCTCCTCACCGCTAAGACTCTGCTGTCCTGCCCATCTGTCCGCGCCACTGAACTCCCCAATCGCACGTGTGACGTTTTTGATGACGCCATAGGAGACACGGTAGATACCCGGTGGCTGACGTTTGACGAGTTAGGCGGAACTGAAAGAGAAGAAAAATCCCAGCCATTTCTACGATGATTCCAGATGAATTAACAAATGTACCGAGATATAGATGTTGCAATGTCCGGAATCCTTTTTTATATTGTCGGTTGTCCAAATGGATTGCTGTGGGCCCGACTGCTCCGCCAAGCAGGGCTTGACGCAAATGACATCATGGACCCACTACCTGATTTTGCCCTACATCCCGTCCTGGGTATAATTGATAATAAACACGCTAAAATTCCCCATTATCATTTTTTTCAAAGAAAAATTAAACCGAAATGCCTCTGCCGATAGCATTTACCTGTTCGCTGTAGCGAAGGCAGCGTTACACGTGGGTCCTCTGCTTGACGACGCTGCTGTATAATCTCGGCCAATGTGGGCCTCGGGTTTGCCACCAATGACGTCATACCTCCAGTGACGTCACCAGCAGTGACCAGTGCGCTCTTCTGAGCTCGCTGAACAGAAGTGGCCGTTTTGGAGTCAGAAGCCGTTGCCTTGCTTCTGAAACATTGAAGTATTTTTGTTGTAGGTAGTTTGTCTCTTGTTAAATTATTTATTTGAAATACGTTTTTAAAGTCTCCAACCGTCACTAAATAATTATCGGAACATAATATTTATTATGATATAGGTAGGCAAATACAGATGTTAATAAAGATGCTCACTGATTTATAGCATACACCCTATCATATTCTAACCAGTCGCAAACCGTTTATTTCACCGTTTTCTCACCTTCCCAGTCCCAGGATGCTCCAGCCGGCCAGGCCGTCCTTGACCCAGCCGTGTGACGTCACCGCTGGCTGGGCCGGTCGACCAATAGGCGGGATCGGGGGCGGAGCCAAACTGTGACCGGTCGTTCTGCCGACTTCAGTCGACGGTCGGATCGGTGGATTTCTGTGGATTAATCACCATCAAAATTAGAGAAGCATCAATTTGTAAACTAAGGACACATTCAAGAAAAAGCAGCACTGATATTCTTACGAATTGTCTGTGCAACATACCAAGTAAAAGCTTAGTTGCGGAGCCTAAAGGTGAGCTTATATGCTTCCTATTATGTAAATGAAAAAAAAAATGTTTTAGATAAGATTACTCACAAATAAAGATCATTTTCCACCTGAGTATCGTTTGTCGTTCGCAAATAAATCCGATGCCAAAAATGCAGCGCCAATAACTTTATCGTACAACTTACCTGTTTTCGATATCCTTCCCGGTGAAGAACTTGTCGTCGATTTTCTTCTTCAAAGTAGTGATATTCCCAAGTTTTCGCAGGGCTGCAGAAGTAGAGAACTCCTAGAATTGGGCGGGGGGAGGGGAGAATAAACAAAGTTAACTCCTGCCATCTAGGAAGATCAGTCGCTCCGTCCCGTCGACCTGGTCGGCGACTTTACGTATCGGCTGGTGGGAGTCGTCAGCCACTACGGTGGCGCCACGCACTCAGGACACTATGTGTCTGACGTGTACAGTGTAGGACGGGACATGTGGTTCCATTACGACGACCAGCGAGTCAGCTGCGTGGACGAGACGCACGTCCTGAATGAAGGTCACCAACGGGATGGTTATACCTTCTTTTACCTCCACAAGGAGCTCTGCAGCCAGATAGTTAGGATGGAGGGTGGGGGACTGTAACTGCCGCACGGAGGATTGGCGCTTGAACGCCTCCTGACCGTGTCCGAGCGGGCATGTGTGCATGGGTTTGTGTGTGCGTGTGTGTGGATATGTACCGGAAATGTTTTAGGTATATCATATAAATACTCCTGCCATCCAAGTAGGTATTACACTAATCAAATGACCACCGTCCACATTTCACTAGGCCTTCTAAGGACGATTTAAGTCCCTTCCCTTTGCATTGTATTTTTATTAGTACCTAGTACCCACCTTCGACTTTGATTATACCTATTGGTCTCTTTCAGTGCATGGGGGATAAATATCATATTTGATATTTTCCTATATAGTATTATAATCACCTGTTGCGCTTTCCTGGAAATCTCCTGTGTGTGGGTGGCGGCGTACTGGTTTTGCGTGAAAAACTCCAGCTGAAGTAGTGAGCTGCAGTCGGGCCGCTGAGCCGGGTCCATTACCAGACATGCCTGGGATTGAGACAGGGCAGGGGAAAACAAAATCATTGCCAACGTTTGTGATTGCAAGCAACCCTTTTTTAAATAGATGTTCTCATTAAAATGTAACTATAGCTCCAGGATAAATGAAGCTTATTCGCCTGGCGACATGGAGAAACAATCAATATCCATTGTTTGACTAAGACATTTAGTTTTCCCTTTCGAATCCCGCGAAAATATCTATGTACTGTACAGTTGCACCGATTTTCGCTGCAAGGATGGACAATGGACACTTTGGATTATCTTAGTTGTCTTAGTTGCCTAGGTTTCTCGCTGACCTATCACAGAATTTGGGGTACAAGTGAAGTTACAGTATTGTTCATATAAGTTTATAAAGTATACAAGCTCTATTATCTGACTTGACCATCGCATTGTCAAATATGTTTTCCATAAGTGCAATGCAAAATACATATTACCCAAATCGATGCAAAGACCGTAATTTAGGTCTGTACATACAGCCTAAATGTCTGCATTGCCATTGTGCAATCACGCTAATAGCAGCGTTATACGCTACGATTCCTAGAACATCAACACGACTGATTGCGTCACAGTCGCAGCGCTCAGTAACTGCTGTTTGGCACGAGCTGGTATAAAACTGACTGGCTGCTACAGCAGTATCAACAAAGCCACTGCCACTATCGAGCCGTGTTGGAACCGGGGCTAGCACGCCAAGGAGCGGCGTGCTGGTGTGTAGTTGCAAAACAAAGTAATAGTAAATGGTGTGTGTGGTTTGGAGGTTATTTTTGACGCGTAGTGGTTATTTGATTATGCAACAGACAAAATATATATTTACATAACTTAACATAGTCACACAGCTTGGCCGGCGACAAGAGAGGTTTAAAGCACTGAAATCGTCTATAATTTCAACGCAGTATAAATACTTGAAGAACGATTCCAATGATAAAATCGCTATCTGCTTGATTTTCAAGAACGTTCAAATCAATAAGCCATTTTTTCGTCCTACACTGTAAAAAAAGTTTAGCACCATAGAGGTACTTTTCAATTGACTAATTTTCAGTACCCTAGCGGTGCTAAGCTAAGCATTTTATTCATACTTAACTGAGATCTAGTTTAGTATCAAGGTGCTAATATAAGTACCCATATTTGTTTAGCACCCGTGTACTAAATGTAGTACCCTACACCTGCTAGACCAATTTTCAGTACCCTAGCGGTGCTAAACTTTAAAAGGTGCTAAGAATAGCATGCAGTTAGTACCTTCCGTACTCACATATGAACCGTTTTAGCGCTATTGTTACCCAACGACAAGTAGAATAATGCTAACGAAAGCATTGGGGCTGAAAGTAGAATATCTATACTAGTTAAAGCTGCTGCATGAAAAGTTCGCAAAAACTGCTTTCTTTAGCAGCACATACTTTCACTAGTTACTGCAAAAAGGACTAATCGATTACCAAAAAGGAAATTGTGTAAGGCCGAAAAGACGTGCAAAAAAGGTTATATCCTAGATAAGTGATAACTACAAGTCTCAATGATTGTGTTTTGCATTCTGCAATATTCCCGTGTAAGTGCATCTTTCAAGCATCCAACACATTATAAAATTAAAAAAAAAATAATGGAACATTTATTAACACTTCATTTCATCTGCATGAAAAACAAATTAAATATATACACAAACAAACGCACGGGAAATAACGAGAGGTCGCTCATATACCTGCACACTCGCAGTGACCGACGATTAACGCGAGATCGACTGGGGGAGGCGGGGGGGGGGGTCGTTGAACCGACGTTCCGTTCATGGCCATAAGTTCGACCTCATCCACGACCAGACGGCGTTTAGTGATAGACGGAACCGGAGACCCCGTGTTGTTGTCGTAGTTGTCCTCCATTGTAAGTGGTAGTCGACGGAAGAACTGACCAGGCCCCATGCCTGGAGCAAAAAAAAACTGGATCAGTTCCAAGATTTTTTTTCTGTTGGGAGCTATTTTCGCAAACAACACAACTTTCCTTCAGACCAAGAAGCGCGATTTGCCAAAGTCGGAATATGAAGCACTTAAACAATATAAGATAATGTCAAAAGATACAACGTGTCAGACTCACCAAAGTCGATCAACGTCGGTGTCGGTGGCATGTGTCGGTGGCAAATGCTCATGTACCACCCGGCCCCGGAGCACTTCACTTCACTTCACTGCACTGCTGCACTGCACTTCCCTCCACCTCACTGCCTCCCGGAGCAGGGGCACGCACTCCCATGCCACGCACGACGGATTCCACCGATAATAGCTGATATCACTCGGTGGCATGTGCCCGGAGCACTTCACTTCATTTCACTTAATATACCGGAGCACGTGCACACACTCCCACCACGACCAACGGACTCCACTAAAATGGCGCAACACGTGGCCGGAAACAGCTGGCACGCGCATGCGCATATCGCTCTGCGCCGTCAAAACGTGCTAAAGGGCTGGTGATAAGACTCCCAGAGATTTGTAAAGCAGGGCTTAGCTACTTTCTTTGGCGCCAATTTCAAATTTGTTTCCTCTGTAAGCATGTCCGGTTCTATTGTGATACTAACGTAAGCACCATATTCAGCATTACCAACTTCTAAAACACTTAACCCTAGAACGCCTAGGGGGGGGGTTGTATCAACCCCCCCCCCTGAGGTTTTTTCGAAGTGCACGCTAAACGGCTTGTCGTAGCGGGCTGAAATTTTCAATACCCTCTGGGGCAACCTTTGCGCATCTTTTGCCGAAAAAAATTGGTCGGGTCATGTCAGGTCACGGAGTTATGACGTCATAAGAGGTACAGCCTCCGGCCGGATTTTCACAAACTGAGTGCCAACGCCCGAGGTTTCCTGCCGGTGGTACGGACATCGGTTGATGGATCGTGATGAAACTTCCCATGCATGTTGGGGCAAGTATTGGCTATCATATGGTATAAGAAATTTGACCGAGTCAGGTCAGGTCACGGAGCTATGACGTCACAAGAGGAACAGCGTCCGGTACTATTTTTGAAAAGCGCCCGAACCACTATTTTGCTAATTCTTGTCACCTCAATGGGAATATGCAGCAATATTAGCTTCTATAGGGAGCAGATGGACCTCCCAAATCCAAAAATACAATCAGATTTCAAAAATTTAAATTTTGATTTTTCGAATTTCTACCGCCGACTGTGACCTTGCCGACTTCCGGCGCTCCCAACGCGCCATTTTTAGAGCTAGGGAAACGAAATACATACCAAACGATAGAGAATTGATCAAGGAACCCGATAGTGAAGGTTTCAAGTCGATATCTCCCACCGTTTTGCCGCAATCGCCGCCGAAAGTTGAAAAAAGTTTATTTTTCCGAAAAATTGACCTTTGACCGGTCAAAAGTAGGTCAAATGTTGACCTAGGACCAAAAAATATACCACCAATCGCGAGATCTCGTTGAGAGCAATCCGTTGGTTTTTTCCGCTAAGCTCTACGACCTTCCGTTTCGAAACGCCAGGGGGGGGTCGTAACAACCCCCCCCCGGTCGTTCGTGTTATGAGAAATGGCCTGGTCGTGCGAGGGTTAAAATGGTTCTAATTAGAAATCCAGCTTGAAAGAGCACTCACTGATGGACTGGGTACTAGCAGAAGTAGACGTTAAGCTCAGTAGAAGAATAGGTGATCTAAACTTATAATATTTGATGGGAATGTTAGCTATCATTAGCACAGTATTAGCACCATGCTTCTTTGTAAATACGTCGTAGGGTTCTTTTGACGCTAAAAGGTGCTACGAATAGCAGCCGTTAGTACCCCAAATGCTAAACTTTTTTTACAGTGTAGATCGACTGCACTCTCCTCGACATTCTCGGCCCACAGACAGTAATCAATGATGAGAAGGGTCAACCATTCTGATCGCCCTCATAAGTCCCAGTTGAAACCACCCACTATGCTAACGCAGGGAGTTTGGCACATATACGCTAATCTAATAGGTACTGTACTGCGAAGTTAGTACAGCCGCTAATCTAATACTGCGAAGTTGGTACAGGACCTACAGGACCTACCTCGAGTAGCTGCAGCTGCGGCGCCGGCCAGGAGGGGAATTTCTCGCCGAACAGGGGTCGACCCGTGCCCCTGAGACGTAGGCCGTGGGCCACGGCGCCGTGACCTAGACGTAGCTGGTGGGCGAGGCAGAGAGGACCTGCCGGGCGCGCACAGATTCAGTCGGAGCGGAAACGGAAAGAAATCCATCGGCGAAACGATACAGGGAATGCGTGGATGAGGCGGAAGAACACATCCGGTACCGACTGTCGGGAACTGGCAAACAGACATCGTGTATTGCCTGTTAGTGGAACACCAATAGTTCTTCTACTTGAGTTTTTTTTAATACCGCTAGTTTCATTAGTCTGTCTATCCCAAGGTCATGGGGAGGTAAAACAAAGCCCAACCCAAATTCACAATTCACGTAAATAAATCCTCAACTTTTGCTGTCGGTCATTGCTATAAAACAAAAACGGGGGCACCGTCGGCCAATCGAGCCGCAAATGGGGGTCACTCGGTCAGGCCTATTGACTGTTTGCTCTGGTTGCCCTAGTAGCAGTAATAGCTGCAGCAGCCACAGTGCAGCGGAGACCTGGGGTAGGTAGGTGTGAAAACGCAGGTCGATTGGAGACTCGAGGAAGACTAAGGAGATATTTGGTACTAAAGATATTGTGATAATGCTGTGGGAAGAACAAGGCCTTATGTGAAAAGCAGTTTCTAAATGAATGACCTGACGCAAACAAAAATTCCAGTACCTACTTTATGAGGCATTGATAGCCAATTAGTTTGAAGTTCGCCTGCAATGATCTGCATGACTCCGCAATGACCATCATATAATGCAATTGAAATACCCTCATCTGAAATTAAGCTAAATCTGGTTTCATTTGTAACCACAATCATTCATAATATGAACGATGCAAATATACCATTGAAAATATCCGTTTTAAAATGTCCGCCTTTGGAGGCCCTCCTGTCCCAATGAACTGAACTGAGGCCATCCCTGCGTGACTGTCGTCGTGCAGTGACTCGCACGTTACTCCAGTGAGACAGGTGACGTTCCGTTCCGGTTCACTGCAGCGACCGTTGGTTCCAACTGCGGCCCGCCGATCTGCGCTGAACTGAAGCGGAACGAAGTACTGGAAGGTAGACTGACCCGCAATGCACCCGTGCTTTACGGGATAGTCTAGCTAGCCAAGCGACAACGTTTGGAGGTAATCGTTCTTATCTGTCGGGTGTTTTATCCACATTATTAAGATAATTAAGTGAAAATTGTCTGATAAAGTGTAAGTGTACTTTTATCTGAGCTGTGAAGCAAAATACTATCAAGTATCAACTGCTGCCAGTTGTCACTGCAATCTGCCCCACGCTATAAATGTAATACCTATTGTAATACATTACTCGCTGTCACCTGCAATCATCATCAAGGCTTGATACCCTGTTTTCACACCATCATTTGCTCCGGACGGGGAGGGGCAGGGAGAGGGCCGCACGCTGTGCTAGCTGTATTGATCTTCCTAACTGGAATCGCGCCCCAATTGCAGGGTATGCACAATTGATCACGGTCGACACGGTCTACCTTCACAGCGTACACAGGCCATTCGTCAAAACAGGTAGTGAGGTGAACAGCCCTTGTGTGTGAACAGCCCGGTGGAGTGTGTGTGACCTTGAGGGGTCGGTGTATTGAATTTAGTCTGATACGGGACTACGAAGCAAAACATGTGGTATAATTCAAACAGTTATTTTCTAGATTAGTGCGGAAATGACCAATCACAATGGCTGGCTGCAAAAAAAAAGATGTTACAAATTCTAAATACAAACATATTTTTTGGAAGGCTTGAATCAAATGGTGAACATAGCAAAAGCCAAATAATGCTGCATCATAGGTGAACGGAAAACGTTTATCATTGCATTCCTTCCGTCGGCTTACGTCACGTCACGTCTTCTTTTTGAAAAAAAAATAGGTTGACCGATAAAAATAACATATTATGAGAGCACTAACCTCCGTGGCTATTGGCATGGCCTATACGTCTATCCAACGAACTCTACATGGTGACTAAATCTGTGACTTGTTATGTGACCTAGCCTGTGACCTAACCTGTCACCTTACCTGTGACCTGCAGAATGTGATGCAGTTGGTCGACGTCACTCTCGCCGGGAAAGAGTGGATCGCCAGTGAGCATTTCGGCAAACAAACAGCCAGACGCCCAAATATCCACCTCCCTGCCAAACACAGACAAACAAACATACATATAAATCAATAAACCCACCTACAGGTATGTGGTGCATGTAACCCTAAATGACCCGTCGAGGGCGCGGCCCGATCGGCCGCGACCGGTCACGTGACCGACCGTGCCAGACGCTGCAGGGTGAGCTCGGTCGGGGAGGGCAGTGGGGCTGTGACTGTGACGCTGTCGCCATCGCCGCTGAATACAGAAGTACGCTGTATGAAGACTCTACAAGGTATATTCACATAATCACATTCATCCGGGTTAGCAACGTCAAACTAGCACGAATTTTCCCGATATTTTTGTTGACATCAATACCGCTGATTTTGGCGCGTGCAAGGCTCGATGTTTGGTCCTGTTTTTCAATCGCTACAAACCTTCCTCATCAAGACACACAAGCTCAGTCAACCACTTGACAATTTCTTAGTAAAAGCATGATAAACTCACTTGCCATAGGCCGTCTCGCCGACGAGCAGCTCGGGAGCACGGTACCATCTAGTGGCGACATAGTCAGTGCAGCTTTCTCCGGGCGCCGCCAGGGGTCTCGCGAAGCCGAAGTCACACAGTTTGACCACGCCGCCGGCCGAAATCAGGACGTTCTCCGGTTTTATGTCGCGATGGATGACCTGTGCAGAAAAGAAGATGTTTCGGCCGCCACTGACCATGTTCCCAGACCGTAATAAGAATATTTATGTCGTAGGTTTATCTACTTAGCCCAGCAGGTGTGGAGCTGTCAAACTATGCCGTTTTGAAGAAGGTTGATAAAACATCATTGAGACATAAAAGACAGAGTACAGACATCACACCAGCGGCATCTCATGTAAATAGGACATGTGAGAGGCATCCATTTCAAACAAATTATAAAGTGCATCGTTTCTCTTCGATGACATCAAACTGTAATTAATTCAGATCTAAGTATAATATTTCCCACTTGCGCAGTGATGTCATTCATACCGATTGTGCGTGGCAGAACTGCAGCGCCCTCAGCAGCTGCAGCATGTAGCTCCTGACGACGTCCGGCGGCAGACCTCCTTCCCCCCTGGCCTCCAGCAGGTGCAGCACTGTGTTCTCCACAAACTCAAACACCAGACAGAGGCGTCGTTTTTGACGGAACACCTCCAGCAGGTTCACCAGGTTCTCGTGTTTCAGACGCTGTGAACATGCAGTATGACGTTAGAAGCAGCGGAAGAGGGATTCCTGGTCTTAAAATGTACTCAGTGGATGTGTTCAGGTGATATTTCGACTGTGGGGTTCGTATTCTTTTCTTTTTTTGATTTGAGTTATGAATAGTGGACGCCTAGAAAGAACAAGGTGAGAAACAAGGTAACGAATGTGAGGTATGCCGTCAATATGACAGTACTACAAACGCGTGACAATGGCAAGTTTCCTAATGCATCCTTCATCTCACCAATAATACTCACCCTTAGCGTCCTTATCTCGCGCATGGCCACTTTCCGCACGTGCACGTCTTGCTGCTCACCCTCCAGAAAGCGTTTGATGGCCACGATCCTTCCCGACTCCCTGTGTCGACATTTGATGACCACGCCGTACGACCCCTCGCCTACCACACCGAGCTGGTCGTACTTCTCCATGGTAAATCTGGGAAGGGTACTCAATCAAATCAGGACTAGTTTGGTGCAAAAAAGGCATAGAATGAGACGTAACTACTAAAAAACGGCGGTACGAAGCCGCGCGATTTATGAACAGCTACCTACTCCATATGTAATATGTATACCTACGTTAGCAATTCTGTTTACAGGAAAATAAGAAGAAAGCGGCAACAAGCAGTTCCTAGCATTTCTGATAGAATATGAGATAAGCGTCCAACGGACGCCGATCAGAACTCACATCAGCTTACCAGTGGTTCCTGCGTCACCACAGCGCGGTCAATCCTCGGTCCAAGCTCCTTAGTTCTTGGCAACACTTAGGCTAGCTCTCATCTCATCGACTCTCAGTCTCAGTGGCGCACGAAAAATGCCAATTGAACTATAGACCTACTTCAAGTATAAACTCAGTTGATATTTAGGCGAACCTCCGTTCGCTAGCACACCAACTTCCCTCGATGCTCACTAAAAAAAAACTCAACTTTCAGTTTACCACTCTCCAACTCAGCCATCTCTCAACGCCTCTCCATAGCTCAAGAGTGCCACTCCCACTTCTCCCTTCGCTCTTGTCGCCCTGGCGCTGTGAGTAGTCGCCGCGGCCACTATAAGGTCACTTGGAGGTCAGTCCCGTCACGACCGACGCTCACCGCCGACTGACCAGGCTACCTCATCATTATCGATCCAAAGCATCGACGAACGCGAGCCCGTGATGACATCATCGCTCTGTTGGTCGGTGGATAAGGAATAGGCATGTTTAGGTACTATATACGTTTGCGTAGATTCGATACTACAGGGTGACACAAAAAGCGGTCATCACCAAAATTCAAACAACTTCCGAAGTTGTATTCAGATCATCACTAAACTTCGGTCTCTTTAGGCCACGACTATGCAGCAGATATCCACCAAGTTTCAAGTCTTCGCTACTCGTATCAATATAACACGTGAAGTCTTTATTTAAACACAGGCAGCAATACGACCTAGCCAGTAATAGCCAGCTAATAGCCAGCCCTAGCCAGCTAAAAAATATTTGATAAATGACCTATTTTATACATAACTAATACCATAGGATTTTACACATTTCATTGATTGATGGACAAAAACCATAACAGATATTCATAAATTGAATAATTTATCTTCCTCGCTCGGCTTGGGAAAGGCGGTGGGTAGGGGTACCACCCGTCGCGTTCTTTATTGTGATGCCTCATTACGCGGTTAAGATAGATAGTCAAATGATGAATATTGTCATACCTGACATTTTCAAGTCAGCTCTTCATGCATACAACTTAACAGGGCTAGAACTGTCACAGCTTTGCAACAATCGGCAAAATGTTGTTGGTATGTTTTTTTTTTTTCGTGGATCTGTGACAGCAAAGCTCCCTCCCGCGCTCAGCACTTTTACGTTTGCGTATGGTGTGTACAATTACATGCATGTAGCTCTCTGCATGCGCTCCTTGTGTTTACATGTGCTGCGTATGTGCATGCTCTGTTCATTTGCTGTGTAATTGCATGTGTATACGCGGTGCATGTATTGGTATTGTGCACACGTTGTCCGTGTGTGCTGTAGGTAAATGTGTATGGTCTATTTGTGTTTGTGTATGTGTTAGTGCTGTAGGTAAATGTGTAGGTATGGTCTATTTGTGCATAGGCGGTCCCAGGGGGGCCACGGGGGCCATGCCCCCCCCCCCTTTGGTGCTGAAAGGTGGGGCCATACTATCTTTTGGCCCCACCTTTCAGATCGAACAAAAGTCCTAGAAAAGCTTTTTGTATGTTTCATTTTCTTTCTTGCGCCATCAAAGGACGTAAATTTCACTCATGAGTGGGCTCAGTTTCGCATTCTGTCAATTTGGCGGTCAGCGTCGCTGGCACCGGCTCACGAGTATGGCCGGATCTTATATGGAATATCAGCGTGGGTTTACTTGAGGCTCTCGTAGGCCCAGCAATGGCTGGCATGAGACCCTCTTCGGCAGTGGCGGGTGGGCCCTGCCAAATGAGCGTGGCTCTACGACACTAAAGTAAGACCTCATGGGTTGGTGCTGTGCACCTTAGAAGCCCGGTGGTGACGCCGTATGCCGGTTTGGTTTCTTAAGGATTAGTGTGGGACCTCCGGGGCCTGCATAAAGTTTGCATGAGCTAGTATGTAATCTCAGAGGCCTGTGTAATTTGTACACAGTGGCGGTGTACACATGACATCAGGGCCATGCCCCCCCCCCCAAGGCCAATAACGGGGGCCATCATATCATTTGCCCCCCTCAAACAACCAATGGGCCCCCATAGGTGTATGGGACCCTTGCCCTTATTCGATTGTCACGAGACTCAAAAAACCCACGCCCAGCTTTTAGTGTTGCTCCCACTCCGGTCTTCGAGCGTCCTACACTGACCTCTGAGGGAATTTCAGTGGCGGTCAAGCACCCACGTTGACCGCTAAGAGCCCACATCGACCTCTGAGGCCCCACATCATCTTGCCTATGAATGCCCCTAACCGGCCTCAGGGGCCCCAACTGGCGTCTGAGGGTCTCACACCGGTCTTTGGTGTCCCAAGACGAACCTTTAGGTGCCATTGAGGGCCCCGCACTGGCTGCTGAAGACCCGATGCCGACCTCTAAGGGCCTGCATTGGCCTCTGAGGAGGGCCCATCTTGGCCTTTGAGAGCCTTCTGCTGGCCTCTGGGGTCCAACGACGGCTCATGCCGGTCTTTTACGGCCCCACGCTGACCTCTGATGGCCCCATGTTGGCCTGTAATTACGGAGCGAGCGAAGCGAGCGTAGTCTTTCCTTAGATTAACGGAAATTTCTGAGTATGAGCGGCCGGCCGGCCGGCCGGCCGGCCGGCCGGCCGTGCGGACGCTTTTGCGAGGCTTATATCTCAGCAACCACTTGACCGATTTACATGCGGTAAATTTTGTAGGGTAGCTTCATTCCTTCTACCAAGTATTGGACTATTCCCGATGCATGTGGGTGACCCCTTATGCACGTGCCACGTGCAAAACGAGGAGGTGTCAGTTTTGTAATTGTTGCAATATTTCGGTAACTACTTGGCCGATTGCGCTGAAAGTTGGCATGTAGATAGGCACCCACTAGGCACTGCATATCCATGTGCCAGAGTTGGGGTGCTGCTGCACGTGCGCACGTGCAGGGGTCGTTTCCAGATCTCGAGAACGGCTGGACCGATGGCGCTCAAATTTGGTACACGATTAGGGACCAGTTAGTAGGGTGCCGTGCACAAGTCAGTTGGGACCCATTTTGCACGTGCGCACGTGCAGGGTGCCGCTTCCAGATCTCGAGAACGGCTGGGCCGATTTTGCTCAAATTTGGCACATCGCTAGAAACCGGTCAGTAGAGTGCCGTGCACAAGTCAGTTGGAGGTACCCCCTCGAAATTTCGCACGTGCAAGACTCACCCCCTCGCTCGCTCCGTTGGTCGCCCCAAAAGGCGCTATACTGGTGAGTAAGAACCCGCATTAGCCTCTGAGAGCCCAACTCGGTCTCTGATGGTCTGAAACTACTGGCCTTTGCAGTTTGCAGGCCCTGTACTGGTCTCTGAGGGCCATAAACTGGCCTCTAAGAAGTGAAAACATACATGGTGGGCTTCTGAAGATCAGAGGGCTCACGCAGACTCCGGCACAGCCTATACGTTGGTACTGATCGAGGTAACTTTACGTCTTGATGGTCCGCACAGATTCCCTCATATTTCGACGTCGGGACCCCATGAGCCGGTGTGGGTCCTGGGGCTGGCAGAGACTGATGAAGTCCTTAGGGCTCAGAGCCAGTCTTTTAAGCAGTAGGACTAGGCAGGTTGAGTGAGCCCCAATAGAGCCGTTGCGAAGCCCCGCAGGAGTCGCGCGCGGCCATCAGATGCCAATTTTGAAAGCTCGGAACCTGTAGGGGTCTCCAAAGGTCGGTGTACCTACTCTCTCCCGCCGCCACACAACTACAGGGTGTCTCAAAAGTTCGTTCACAGGTACCAGCCATGCTTTTTTGCCAATAATTCTGAATCAACAAGAAATTAACAGTCGAAGTTTTGCATGGGCATTGGTGACAACCTTCCTCAAGCAGTCTCATTGTTTTCAAGTGCATTCGACCCTTCATGAGCTCACAAAAAGGGTTCACCTCTGACCATGGGTCAGGCACGAAAATGTAGGTTGCAAAGTCGGGTATGTTGTGAAACTCTCTGTTTCAGGAGTAATGGGAATGGTTAAGTCGGAAATGACACATGGCTAAGTGTCGGCGAGGATGAGTGCAACATGATGATCATCTCATAAAAACGGTGGCTAAAATTTTTGAAGGACGAAACCATGCGAGACTAACGGCGTTTTGAACGACCCTCGCACGACAGCAGACTCGTGTTCCGTAAAGCAGCTGAAAATGCGGTCATAACTATTGAAAACTGGCAAGAAGGTCATAGACAGAGGTTACCCATTTTAAAAAAGTGCAGGTCATCGTAAAATAAAGACAAATTATAATTTATTCATTTTTTTATAATATCTATAACGCGAATTTTTGGGGACAATAACACAAAAATCGTCAATGCCAAGGACACCTGACCCTCCAAAAGTGTCAGTTATTGTAAATTGTTATCTAACGAAGTTTCAAGAGGCAGATCTGCAGCGAATAATTTTCTTTTAAACACAAAATCCCGATAAAACCACACGATGGACAGGTTTGGGCCGTTTACAAAGCAGAACATCTCCCGAGGAAAACACTCCGCAACCAAGCGAAGGTCTTGGCATGGGGAATGACGAGCGCTTGGAATTTGCAAAATTTGCACAATGTGTCTGAGAAACAGACGTCCGACACATTCTGCTACCATATGATGCGAAAAATTTACTCCTGGCACTTCCCGTTTGTTCAGGACTGGGGTCGTTTTGAAAAGGAAAATGGCGCTTGGGATGTCGGCGCCAGTCATTTATGAAGGAGTTAGCGCCAGAGAATGCCTACAAAATACTCAAGAATGGTGTCGATGCAAGCTGTCGGCTTTCAGGGGAAATCAGATGTTGCCGGGGAGCTAGTCAAAACTAAATCCGACGCAGAAACTGCAGGGGATTCCCCTGCAAGAGCTTGAAAGCTGGTAACCTTTTATCAGCCTCCGGCAGCTGACGGAGCAACAAAAATCGGTATGGGCAAATATTTTTGGAGATACAGCAAAGGGGTTGGTTTCCAACCTTCTTAATCAGTTGTCAACGCATGCATATTTGTCTAGTGTACACACAGACACCAAAACCTTATACTTTTGGCCGGTTTTTATATGCTTTATTGGCATGGGAAATGTGTGAACGAACTTTTGAGACACCCTGTATATGAGTAAATGTCATAGTCTGAAAATGCTCTCTGGGTTTCACATGCTTGTTCAAAGCAAGAGGTATCTGTACTTTTCCGAATTGTTTTATCGTGCTAAGGTCATGAATCCGCGTTCCCGACC